CACACACACACACACACACACACACACACACACACACACACACACACACACATCTCTGAGGAGAAGGACTCAGATCCTTGCCCAGTTTGGGTCCCCGTTGGTTAATTTATAGCAAGTCATTAGCATAGATCCTTTGATATCAGTGGGGATCGTCTCGGCTCTCCTTTAAGCTCACAGTTATCAGAGCAGACAGAAACTGGAGACGGAGAGGAAACCACCTGAAAGCCCATGTTTATTCAGATTTCTGGTTTATTTGTGTGTTTTTGTATGTGGAGGCTACTCCTCCATCCCTCCCCGCCTCTTCCTTTGTAGCCGTCTTCCCGTCTCTTCCCCCCACTCCTTCATTTCCCTCACTTTCTTCTATCTATCTCTGGGGGGGGATTTGTGCTGACTGAAGCAGTTTACACCAACCCCGGGCTTCAGAGCAGGAGCAGCGCTCGCTCAGAGCGTGGCAGGGGAAACGCCAGAGAGAAAACAGAAAAGGCACTCAGGGTGGTGGCGGGTGATGAATGGGACATGCGCCGCTTGCCCTTAGATACACTGCCCAGTTGAAATCAATTGGAATGATCATGAGAGAGTGTCAGAATGGAGAAATTGATGAGCGGGCTATGGGTAAAGTTAAAAGGCTTCGCTGGATTTTGTTATTAGCTCGAGAGGCTTTGGAGGGGGGGCGCCTGCTGGGTGAGAATAAATGGATTTTGATAGGATGGGATGCGTAGAAGATATCCGGGGATTCAGRCTCAAATGAAAGCAGATGTCCTGCAGGAAAGCGTCGCGCCTCTAAAAGCCTGTTTGAATTAGGTGGCTTTGTTTTAAATAGCGAMGTGAATAAAACGAGATAACTTAGATATTTCTGGTGAAATATACGATTGGACGTTTTTCATTGACGCACAGAAGGGTCTGCGCTGGAGCCTGCCAAGATAGTGTYGTTTTGGGGACAAATAAAACGCCAAGGGGGGGTTGTGTCTGCAGTCTGCAGCACACACTGATGGGTGCTCGTGTAAAAGCAGAGCGGTGTGCCGCTGCGAGGGAAGGAGCTGCGAGGCAGGAGGGATATTGGAAAGGAGGGATGCTATTATCCTCACATTGTGTGCTGAACAATAGCTCCAAATATCTTGGCTCGCTGAAAGCCCATTGTAATCTTCACACATATCCTTTGTCACATTATCCCGCACTATCTTCTGAGTGTTTAATCTTTCTCCAGTGCCCCCTCTCCTCTGTTTTGGCAGCAGATTGGATGTGTGTAATAAAAAAAAAGAAGAGGGGTGGCAGGCAGAGAGAACTGGAGGATTTATGATCTGTTTCTGGCAGTCACATTAGGATTCACTCTGCCTCTCCAAGACAGATGCTCTCAGCCTCCCTTTCTGTTTATCACACAGAGTCACACATGCAACAACAATAAGACCGCCAAAGGCGTCGGGATGTTAAATTGTAAGCCGAGTCGCTGGGCTCCTGCACAAACAGCTGACTGAACGTGGCGCTGATGGGGACACTGCAAGGTTTCCTCTCTGAGGGATGTGCCCTTTAACTTCCTGTCGTCTCCCTGTGTCCACGTCCCTAGCTTTTTATCACTGCCGAAAAGCAAAAAAGTTGGTGACAATAAGTTTGTGTCATGACCCACTGGTGCTGCGCAGAGATTAATGTAACTGGCAGAATGGTATCATTAGAAMTACATCTACTGATTAACCTTTGGAGTCAACACAATAAAATTAAAGTGAAAAAAAAACACAGTAATGGTTGTCACGCAGTACGTTTTACAGATAATTACCCAAAATATGTTGCAGAGGCTAAGACTGATTCCCAACACATATTCCCAATACTAAAACATTGTGCAGGATCTTTGTTTAAAATGCTGTCATTACATATTTGGCATCAACTCTGTTAGCAAAATATCTCATTTACTACTGGACAGATTTAGGCCAAGTTTACGTAGGAACAATGGGCCTCATGCAAGAACCGTTCGTACGCACAGATTTGTTCTTAAATTGTGCGTACGAGTGATTTAGGAGAATTTGTAGCATTCACCAATGTTTTCGTATTCTACGATTTTTTTCAGATATGAACAAAATTCAGGAGTGGTCCAGACCTGTCGTATATTTTACCAGCAGTCAGTCTGCTGTTATCCAGACGGGTTTTCTTCACTAATAACTTTATATTTCATTAGTTTGAAGATGTTTTTAGTTGAAAATAAATTACACTCCATAATTATGTTGACAATAGGCTATTCTGCTTGAATTAGAGTTATMATTTTAAATGTAATAATTTAGACTAACAATATAAATTGTCCGTCCGTCTGTTTTCTGCCACTTATCCGTGATCGGGTCGTGGGGGCAGCAGCAGAGACCCCCTCTCCCCAGTGACACCTTCCAGCTCGTCCTGGGGGACTCAGAGATGTTTCCAGACCAGAGGGGATGCACCATCCCTCCAGCGAGTCCGTGATTTTCTCCAAAGTGCCAGACATATTTTAAAACATTTTAAAATGCTTATTTCAGAACCGCAACTGAGACCACCTGCGACCACGCGGGGGGTGGGGTACGGTGCGCAGCGCTGTGTCTTCTGAATAAATGAAAATGATTTAACACAGTTGTTTATATTTTTAGCAGCTCTTTTTATTCCACAGCTGACCTGCTAAAAATGACAGATTTTCTTTTCTGGATCTCTGACAGACGGACTTCAATCTCTGAACTCGTAAAG